AGTCATGGATGCTATTCCTTCTGGAATCTTGACCCTCTTGAAAGGGGTGGACAGAACAACCTCCACACCAACCCTGGACCCCAAAATGACTGCTATTGGCAAATCCTGTTTTACGTCAACATCAGTCAGAAATAACAACCGTAACATACGTTCCCTGTTTCAAAAAGATATTTCAACAATCCCACACATTATTGCCTACTGGTCTGGTTTTGTTGATAATCTACACTGGGGAAAAATCTGGTCTCTCCCATACAAATACCTTCTGACTAATAAAGTAAGGGAAATCTCTTTTAAAATGATACACAAATACTATCCCACCAAGCATTATCTTCTTAGGTTCAAGAAAGACATCTTTGTTGATTGTTCATTTTGTGGAATGTACCCTGAAACAATGGTTCACTTGTTCTGGCAATGCCCGTATACCAACACATTTTGGAAAGCTGTATCCAGATTTATTATTGATCGTATCGACTCTGACTTTATACTATACTGGAAAAATGTACTCTTTGGGTTCTACGAAAGTAAGGAAAAAAATACTAAACAAACCTTCATTATAAACTTAATAATTATTCTCGCCAAGTTCCATATCCACAAATCCAGATGGAGTAATTTAAAACCTCTTTTCTTAATTTTTGAAATAGAAGTAAAGCAGTACCTAAGTTCTATTATGGATTCTAAAAACAAGAAAGCTATTAAAACTCTGGCTATATGCTCCTTATTTGAAAATTTTGTTTAAAATCCCCTGGCTTCTTTTTTGTTTCAATGTTTATAATATGTATATGTATTAATAACATGTTCATTTTGTTTTCTGTTTGTTGAGAATTGTAGTATTATAACTTGTTCAAATAAAGATTCTATTAAAAAAAAAAAAGTTTTTGTCTGAAGGGAGTTGCCGTACATTGTCGTTCGACAGCTGCAGCTGGGCCTGCGCACGCTAAGCTGCAACACGTCTTCAGTTGAAAAAATAATAGATAAGTACCTCTAACCAAACTTAATTCTTGAATAACAGCTAAACGCACCTTTGCCTCAACGCAGGACGCCCATCATTACTTTATTGGACAATAACATCATGATCTCAACCTTCTGGCCCTAGCTTAGCTTACTTAGCCTAGCTTGCTAGCCGTGGTGTCTAAGCAGAGCGCAAGTGTGAACGTAAAGTGTGGTAAATTTACCTACAAATGTACTCAAGAAGAACAGAAGAGTACGAGAAGCAACTTTATGGGCCAGAAGAGGAGAGTGACGCTGTTTTCAAGAAGTCTCGAGTTGGCTCACGCGGAGCAGGTTTGGCCACTTCAAGTTCTTACTTAATAGTCAACGAACAACATTTCTTATTGTCATTATTAACCATTTTACAGAGCAGAAAGCTGTATTTTCTGTCACGAGTGTTTTTCTTTTCTTCCAGTTCCCTTCCCTTCACTTGAGTACTACGTTCTTAATTTGTTGAAACTGTGTTTCTATCTTCAATTTTGCACTCGGTGATTTTTTTTCGGGGGGATTACGGACACGCTCCCATCCGTGAGCTGGCCAGCAAGCATCCAGCTAGCATACACCGGCTCAAGACCCAAGTCATTTCACTGGGGCTGGTGCATCATAATGCCTACCGACTACAGCTGCAATCAGAAAAGCCTACTGGAAAACGCAAATCTATCAATCTCTGATCTTGAGGATATCCGTTGTCTGTCATAAAAACTCAGGAGAAAAGAATCCCTCCTCTCTTGTTTCACGATCCGGTTTAAGATCGATTTTAAGGGGCTTTGATTCGTTTTTAAATCTCTTAACAGTCTTGTGCCATCTTATCTTTCTGACCTGAGGGTCCTCTTTTTATGTTGTAATTTTGATGTTTTAATTGCACAGCACTTTAAGTTGCACTTCTATGTGTGAAATGTGCTATATAAATGAAGTCTGATTGATAGATTGATCTGGCTCTTCTCAGAACATTCATTGTAAATATTAACCATAATTCCACGTGTGTTTGTATTTTTGTGTCTTTCAGTCATCAGCGAAGATGTATTTCGTGAGCGGCTGGATGCAGACCCCTATCAGTTTAAAGAGGAGAAAAAAGATGTCTCCTACTTTAAAAAGGAAGAGGAGCAGCAGGCCCCTTCCATGAAAAAAGAGGAGGAGCAAGAGCACCCTTGCACTAAAACGGAGGTGGATGAGCACTCCAACATAAAAGAGGAGGAGGAGGAGGAGAAGGGTATCTGCAAGTTGCCATTGACTTGTGTCCATTTAAAGAGCATAGATGAAGATAAAAGTGGGGCGAGGCCTCCAAGCAGCAGCTCCTATCAACGCATGACAACACAAGGTGTTGGAAACCACCAAGACGAATCAAAAGCAGATGGCCTCTTAGCTCCACTATCAGATAGTGACATGTCGTCAAATGATGATGATGAGGATGAAAATGATGAGTCTGAAGGTGATCTGACGTGTCACACTGACAACAAACCCTGGAAATGTTCTCGGTGTGAGAAAACGTTTTCTTACAAGAGTGCTTTGAAATCGCACATGAGAACTCACACTGGTGAGAAACCATTCGCCTGTTCAGACTGTGGCCAGAAATTCACTCGTAAGGAAACCTTAATAAGACACAAAAGAACCCACACTGGTGAGAAACCTTTTGCCTGCTCATTTTGTGGCCAAAAATTCTCTGAGAAGGGAACCTTAAAAATACACACAAGAACCCACACCGGCGAGAAACCTTTTGCTTGTTCAGTTTGTAGCCAAAGATTCTCTCTGAAGCATCACTTAAAATTACACTTAAGAACCCACACTGGTGAGAAACCTTTTGCCTGTTCAGATTGTGGCCAGAGATTCTCTCAGAAGCGAAGCTTGAAAATACACACACGAACCCACACGGGTGAGAAACCTTTTGCCTGTTCAGACTGTGGCCAAAAATTTTCTCAGAAAGTACTCTTAATTTATCACACAAGAACCCACACTGGTGAGAAACCTTTTTTCTGCTTGGTTTGTGGCCAAAGATTCTCTCGGAAGGCAAGTTTAATGAGGCACACAACTACCCACACTGGTGAGAAACCTTTTTCGTGCTTAATTTGTGGCCAAAGATTCTCTCTGAAGCATCACTTACAATTGCACTCAAGAACTCACACTGGTGAGAAACCTTTTGCCTGTTCAGATTGTGACAGAAGATTTGCTCAGAAGCATCACTTAAAAATACACTCAACAACCCACGTTGGTGATAAACCTTGCACCTGCTTGGTTTGTGGTCAAAGATTCCCCCGCAAGTATGAGATGAAGAATCACAAGTGTGTTGATGGGATGAACAGTTATCAATGACGTTTACACCTCTCATTTGAGCAGGCTTCATCACTTTATGCTCCAAGGCTGATTGTCTTCTATTTACTTTTCTTCTCCTTTCCTGCATTGACATTTTTTTTGTTGTTGCTGCAATGAATTCAAAAACCTAGCATTGTCATCGGGTTTATAATCAATTTGGATTCTTCATTGTAGTTACTTTTTCTTTGGTGTGGGTTTGTTTTGTTTTAAATGTAGTTTGTTTTCATTAGTTTTCAGAGGTTTGGTCATTTGTATTATTATTACTTATTTATTTTATTTTTTTCCCCAAATTGAACCGTCCTTGAATCATATCACACCCTCTGTATCGAGATCCAGGTCTCACCGTCTTTTTTTGCAGAGCTAAGTCGACGTAAAGTTATATGGTCGCATTTTCACTATTGTGCTAAATTGCATATCCGTGATTGTCAACAAACTCTCAGAATAAGTTGCTGGTACAAGTACTAATATCTGTGTTTAAAATAATTGGCAGAGCAGCAAGTCGACACACTCGCAATGTCATGCCTGATATTCGCGTCCAGTATGAATGCCCACATTTCATCGCAAATTAATGGACATTTTCCATTTTGTCGTGAAATGTATGATGTAGCCATTTGTGTTGCTGTTTGACCTTGTGTATTGTTTGCTGGCCAATAAAGTTCTCTTTGCTCAAATAGTTTTCTTTCAGCTGAGTCTTCTTCAATACCCGTTACAATTGCGAGTCAGATTTCGGTGTAAATAAATACACAGGTTACGTGTCCTCCATATCAACAAAGAAAGTTTAAATGACAATGTGGGAAATGAAGAAAATGCGTGTAGGGTAGCAATCAATAAAACCTCCGCTTGATGCTCCAATCAATCAATCCCTCGTATCCACAACTTTGTCGTGGAAATTAAGAGATCCAGACGCGCCTCTTGGTTTTGTTCAGTTTGATTCCGACTTTGCACATATTTTACCAGCGATCGTGTCAGGTTTATCCAATTTGACACTCAGGAATAAAACACAAGGAGGAGACAGGAGACTCAATTCTGGTACCAGGAGGGAACGAGGAGAAGCGTTCGGTTTCAGTTCTCGGCACGTCAGCCCTCCCGATCTCCCCCTTCACCTCCTTATTTATTGGGAAATCTGCTACATAGGTGTGTCCAACCTAAAGGGTGGGGGCTGTTGAAGACACACCGAACTTGTTTGACTATGTGTGTGTATGTGAGTGTAAATTACGTACATGTGTGCAATTGTTACAAAAACATCACGTTGCAGCTGGTGTTGATGGCTCCATTCACTGTCCAACCTTGCTCCTGTTTAGTCTTAACACTTATCTCTTCCCAACCACGTCCTCGGAAAGGTGGTTGCGTCCCTAAACTTCCACACAGTGCACTAAGCATTCTTGATTATAAATGTGAGTATATAAATATAATACAAAGGATTATAAATGTGAGTACATAATGATTAATATATCTTTATTGGAAGCATAAGCGTTCTTCATTGCAGGCAGAGTCAATTAATGATTGCAGGCATAAGCGTTCATCTTTGCAAGCATAATCAATTTTTCATTGCAGGCATAAGCTTTCTTCTTTGCGAGCATAATCAATCAATCAATCAATATCAAAATAACAATAATAACATAAATAATAAGCGAATGTATGATAACTAAAAATAATCAATCTATCAGATCGTCACAGTGACTGGCAGTGAGGAGAGAGCGACAACAGGGTGAAAAAATAGTTTGGAGTGCGGTGCGCAAAAAAATGAAAGGCCAAAAAGAGAACCAGCGACGTGACTCATGATGAAGAGCTGATGTGGCAAATTCCTAAGGATTTTTTTTTTTCAAACCCGAGAACACTGGCGATGGCGAAGAAGATACGAGATTCCGTTATTTATCGTAGTTGGGGAAATTACGAAGAAAGTTTGCTTGAGGTCAGAATGTGTCGTGATGAACCAAAACAACAATCACCAGAAGCAGCCATTTTTGTTGTTTACATTTCCCTCGAACGGCTGTCCAACAAACTCAAATTGTCACGAGGATTTGGTAAAATGTACATTTGAAAATGTTATTTTGTTCCAAATTGATTCCTAACGCGCCGCAAACGGCCGAATGTTTACAAAAAAAAATGCAACAACAACAAAAGAAACACACAAGCAAACGAAAAACACACAAATAACAGCAAAACAAAAAGGCTCCGAGTAAGGAAAAGAGTTTAGGATTTGTAACTATGCTGGTCTGTAAAATATAACGTCCACGTGTTTAAAAAGAGATGAAGTAAAACGGACCTCATATTATCTGCAAAACATGGCCAATTCCAGTTACTGACTAAATATGCAATCCGGCACAGGCTTTTCCGGAGGATCTGGTCTCACAGGATTTGTCCTGCAGTGCCCCTTAGTGGCCCGGCAAAGTTCCGTTTAGTGTCGTTAACTTGAATTATTTTTTTCCTGCCGTTATTTTTGAGTTAGTGTGGTTTGGAATCCCGCTGCGTTTTTCCCCCCTAAGAACTTTAGAATTGGACGTTGGACCATTCGAAAAAATGATCAGATATATGCCTGACGTGTCACTTTTACAATAAACCACTGGGATTGACAAACAAATCGAGTATTAAAACGTTTTGCCTCTAATCTGATGAACTGTTCACAAAGTGCATACACGCAGCGTTGTAAAATAACTGGAAAGCATAAGTCATGACTGTGCGTTTTATAAAATAGACCAAGAAACTTCACTCTTCAATGACGTGTAGTGTTTTGTTTTTGTCCGACGTGTGTCCGAACGGATTTGCCGTACATTGTTGTTCAATTGCTCCAGTTGGATCTTCGCAAACACAAACTCGGCTTAAGTTTAAAAAAATAATCACAACAACAACAAAAAAAAAAACTAACCAACCTGTGTTGTCTCTCTCTAATCATGTAATGAAGGAGAAGAGGCGTGTTGGATAGAACTCATTCACTCTTTACTTCCAGTTTGTACTCTCACTACTGTGGCATGCTGGGTAAGGCATGCTGGGTAATGTAGTTCTTGTTATTTTACTCTTAACATCACATCTTCCCCCTTTAAAGAAATATTACCACATAAAGAAATAATATTTACCCTTAAAAACAAGGTCATGTTACAGCTTTTTTTCAACAAATAAATCCTTATCATAGAACTGCAAGCATCAAGACAAACTTTTTTTTTTTAAACAACTATCAATTAGCCTCTTAGGCGGCTGAACATGTATGTCTCTTCGGTCTTGACATCCTTTCAACAGCCGCTGCTGTCATATCATGGTCAGCATGAACATGCCCTCTGTCAGCCAACTCCCCCGAACCAGCTGTGTCCTGCTGAAGTGTGTCTTGAACTGCAGCATCCTCCACTCATAACTGTGGTTGTGGAGCTGTGCGATTCCTCCTGAGAGTCAGGCCATTTCCCACCAGGACCTTGTAGGAGCGTGGAGCAACTTCCTCTTCCACCTGTCCCTTCTCTTTCCATGTCCCTGTAGGAATGTCCTTGAGGCGCACAACGTCTCCAGGCTTCAGCACAGGTAGGTGTTTTGCTGAACGATCATGCAGCCTTTTTTGTTTTGCCTTTTGCTCCTCCTTAGTTTTTTGGACTCTGTGTGCTCTCTTGGGTGTCAGCAGGTCTTCCGACACTGGTAGGTTGGAACGAATGCACTGACCCATCATCATTTGAGCTGGTGACAGTCCATTTTGTAGAGGTGCACTCCGGTAGATCAGCAGATTTTTTTGAAAGTCATCTCTGTCTTGTGATTTTTTTCATCATGGTTTTAATTGTTTTTATAGAGGATTCCGCCAAGCCGTTGGACCTTGGAAACATAGGGATTGACATGGAGTGATGGAACCCACATTCTTTGGAAAAAGCAGCAAACTCATGGCTGGTAAACTGAGGTCCATTGTCTGAAAACAGTTCACATGGGACACCATGTCTGGCGAAGACTGCCTTCAGCGATGATTGCCTTGCTTGATGTTGACTGCAGAGCACCAACTTCCGGATAGTTGGAAAAGTAATCGGTGACTACGATGTAGCTCTTTCCATCACAGTCAAACAGATCAGTTCCTACCTTGTGGTAAGGTCTGTGGGGTACTGGATGGTTCATCAGCGGCACAGCTTGTTGTTTTGGCCTGTAGGTGCAACAAAGTTCACATGCTGGTGTTGTCTGGCTAATATCTTGGTTGATTCTTGGCCAATACATCACTTCTCTCGCCCTACGTTTACACTTGACTTCTCCAAGGTGACCTTCATGTATCTTCTGGAGCATTTGTTTGCGTAGTGAGGATGGAATTACAAATTTGCTTCCTTTCAGCACTATGTCATCCACCACCGTAAGCTCCGCTCTGCAATTCCAATAATCGTGTATTTTCTCGGGACAATCCTTTTTGTTGTCCGGCCACCCTTTAAGTATTGTGCTCTTGAGTTCTTTCATGGTGTTATCTGCGACTGTCTCTTTCTGTATTTGTTCTGTTCTGTCCGCAGTCACAGGCAAAGATGGCACGACCATGTCCACATATGCCTGTATTTTTGTGCTTTTCTCACTGTCTGCATGTTCTTCTTTGTCTACTGCTTGAGACAAGGTGTACATGTATTTACCTGGTGTGTATATCATGTGCACGTCGTACTTTTGTAGCCTGATTAGCATACGCTGTATGCGTACCGGACAGTCATTCAAGGGTTTGTTCATGATGGACACTAAGGGTTTATGATCAGTTTCCACTTCAAACCTCTGACCGGAGACATACTGATGGAAACGCTCACATGCGTACAAACTTGCCAACAGCTCTTTTTCAATCTGAGCGTACCTGGACTCGGCGCTTGTCAAGGCTCTCGATGCATACGCGACAGGTGACCACTGCTCATCATGTTACTGCAGCAGCACTGCTCCCAGACCAAACTGTGATGCATCTGCCGAAATCCTGGTGCTCTTCTCCGGGTCATAGAACTTTAACACGGGCTCCCTTGTCAGAATCTCTTTCAGTTTTAGAACGCATTGTTCATGCTCATGGGATCGCATCCACTCGTTCTTTTGTTCAAGAAGACTCCTGGGAGGTGCTGATTGTGTGGACAGTTGAAGGACAAACTTGGCGAGATATGTCACCATCCCGAGGAACCGTCTCACCTCATCTTTGTTGGTTGGTCTATCCATGTTGTTGATTGCCCGAGTTTTTCTCGGGTCTGGCTTCACCCCTCTTCGCTCACAACATCTCCCACGAAGGTAAGTGATTTCACTGCAAACTCACATTTTTTTTTGTTAAGTTTCAGGTTCACCTCCCTCGTCTTGTCTAGCACTTGTCTCAGTCTTTCGTCGTGTTCTTTTCGAGTTGAGCCCCATACGATGATGTCATCCATCATGGTCTCTACTCCAGGTATGTGCTCAAAAATCATGTGAATAGTCTTATGATAGACTTCTGGTGCTGACAAGATACCATACGGCAACCGGAGAAACCTGTATCTCCCATCTGGGGTGTTGAACGTGCACAGTCGGGAACTCTCCTCATCTAGCTTCAATTGCCAGAAGCCAGACGAAGCATCTAATTTACTGAACCATTTAGCTCCAGCAAATTGTGCCATGATTTCTTCTCTGGTTGGTAACTTGAAATGTTCTCTCATGATTGCTTTGTTTAGGTCCCTTGGATCCAGGCATGGTCTCAGCGCACCTGATTTCTTTTGTACAACAACCAGTGAGCTGACCCATTCAGTTGGTTCATCAATTTTCTTGATGACTCCGAGTTCTTCCATGCGCTCTAATTCATCTTTCAGCTTTTTTCGCAGCGCAAATGGAACCTTCCTACAAGGGTGTACAACAGGTGTCACATTTTGATCAAGACGTATTTTATGTAGTCCAGGAAGACATCCAAGTCCTTCAAAACAGTCCTTATACTCTTCCATGAGTACATCCTGAGCACTTTCTGCATCTGAAGATGTCACAACAAACACTCTTTTGACCAGATTGAGCTTTGTGCATGCACTGAGTCCCAGGATTGGTTTTACACTCATATCCACAATCAGTAGCTGTGCCCTAATCTGCCGATCTTTGTGTTTGAAAGTTGCAATGCATCCACCTCGAACAGGAACACGTTCTCCAGTGTATCCACTCACTCTAGTTTTTACAGGACGAATTTTGCTCTTTGTCTTCAGTGTTTTGTAGTCTTCCATTGATATTAGGTTTGTGTGTGCACCTGTATCCAACTTGAACAGTATAATTGTGTCATTCACTGTTATTGGCACGATCCATTCTTCCTTTTCTGCTGTACAAGCTTGTACCACATCCACGATAAACTCCTCGTTATCGTCATCTTCTTCAACTGTGTGAACTTTCTGTTTTGATGTGGCTCTGCAACATTTTGCATAATGGTTATTTTTTCCACAGTTGTTACAGGATTTTCCAAATGCTGGACAAGACTTTGGCTTGTGGCTGCCTCCACATCTACCACATGTAAATTCTGTAGTTTTTTCCTTTTGGTCTTTTTGTTTGGAAAATGTATTTTTCTTCCGTTGTGCTTTATTTATCGCATGCACTGTTGTTTCTCCTCTTCGCAGCTCTTTAGCTTGTGCTTTAGTGGTCTCTGCTGCTCTGCACATACTGACACACTCATCCAATGTAAGTTCAGTTTCTCTAAGCAGTCTTTCTCTCAGTGCATTATCCGCTGTTCCACAAACAATCCTGTCTCGCACTAATGAGTCTCTCAGAGTGTCAAATTCACATGTTTTGCTCAGCGTGTGTAGCTCTGCCAAGTATTGATCAAAAGGTACTCCTTGCTGCTGGTCATGCGTGAAAAACTTGTACCTTTCAAAGGTCACATTTTGTTTCGGCACAAAGTACTCTTCAAACTTCTTCATCAGTTCTGCCAAAGTCAAATTAGCTTCATCCAAACGAAAACTGTTGTAGACGTCCAAAGCATCTTCTCCAATGACATGCAAAAGAATGTGAGCCTTCAGTTTTTCATCATCACCTCCTGCTCCACTTGCTGCTATGTATATAGTAAATCTTTGCTTGAAACGCTTCCAGTTATCAGCAAGACTACCAGTCAGTTGCATGGAAGTAGGTGGACTCAACTTATCCATGACAGCAAAACGGGGTAAAAGTCAGCTTTCTGGAGTTGGTTATCCTCCACGTCGGGCACAAAATTCTCTTTTGCTGGTTTAATCTGTCCCGCGTCCGTCGTTTCACTTCGCAGTTCAGAGACAACGCACGCAGTAGCTAACTCCGCTAGCATGTAGCTTCGCCAACACGCAATCACTCACACGGCCGGGGACTCCAAATCCTCTCTCGCTCGTGCTTTCGTAGCTCTTTCGTGGCAAACCTTTCCACTCCGAGGCTGCTCACGGCCACTTCTGACACCATGTGTTGTCTCTCGTGAGATATAAAATAAAGGAGACGAGGCGTGTTGGATAGAACTCGTGGGACTCTTTTACTTCCGAACTGTACTCTGCAACCTAACTACTGTGGCATGCTGGGAAATGAAGTTCTTATGTTATTCTACTCATAACACCACAGCAGCAAGGCCTGAAAAACCTCGCCGTGTCTCTCCCGTTGTCTGTCAAACGTTGCCTCGGCATCGCGCGACTGTCTGGAAGTGATCCGATCCGTTTTGCATTTTTTTCAGGCCGGGAGTGGTGCGGATTAAAAGGAAGAGTTGAAAAAAAATCCCAGTGCACATGCGCG